ATATATATATATATATATATATATATATATATATATATATATATCATTAAAGTGATACATATTATTACTTGAGTCAAAAGACACGTTTTTCTATTTATTTCGATTAATACAACAATAATATAAAGTAGTAAAAGATACAAATATTAATATAACAACAATGACGTGATATTTGAGAACAAACTTTAAACAATAATTATAGAATTTGAGTTTATGATTTAGGTATTAAATTACAGGTATTAAACGATGCGATATTTCCAAATACGCGTACGGACGTAACGTAATTATTAGTCTTGTTAATTATGTTTGATTATCCAGTGTAATTTAATTTTGAAGCATATGGTAATCATTCTAAGATTTTTCCACGTCTGAGTGTGTACATCTATGTCGAGAGTTGTAATTGTTGTCAATATATAGAAGCAGCGCGTAGATATATTCGAAGTTAAATTATTAATACATATTTGAGACGATGTTTTTGATATTTAACACGTTCACTGTGTACGTCTCGGATCGGAAATTCGGCACGCAATCGACTCGGTTGCGGATCGAGAAGAGAAGTTAAAAGTCACAAAATTAGGAAGAGTTTCATAATAATTTGCACGAATTATAGTAAATAATACAATTTATAGGATATTGAAGTGATAAGTATTAATATAAAAAAAATAACCGAAAACCTACGTACTTATATCATGTAAAAATATAATTTATTTAATTTGTTTATTTACCTTGCAATATAGAAGTGAATTTCGTATAAAAATTGATTGAAAATTATTTTAAAAAATTGCAAGTAAAGCATACTTGTATAATATTTCGTGTGATATTTTGTTTATTATTTTATTTCAATTTATTTCTAATCGTTCTAATTCTTTTAAAATAATTTAAATATGCAAATTGGCAAGGAAATTTCCGTTTTGAAAACGAGCATTTTAAAGACAGAGATTGGAAGTTACAGTTTTGACATTTTGTTTTACTCGTAGAAATATTGTTACTCGTTTAAAAGGAATATTAATTTTAGAAAGACACCGTTGAATCATGCCTTCCGCTATTGTTGGAATCTCGTGCGCCACAGGCGTGCATATTTTAGAAATACTTGAAAGAAAAGTCGGTCTTGAGAAAGTGTATACATTGTGTAAGGCACAAATGCACGACAGTTGTATTGATGTGCGGTTACTCGCATCGCCTACAAATTTCCGTCATTGTGAACTTCATTCCTCTTACAAAAAGTCGAATAATTTCCGATCGAATCTCACTAATCAATCAAAATCAATTCCACCGTTTGGTTATTTCTATCGCGGTCTAATAGCAGATTCTTCAAATTTTGAAGAAACGTTATCAATGTAGATGTCACAAACTTTATATCATTCGTATCAATAATAACAATCTCTTAAGATACTTTAAAAACAGAGAACGTGCGCGAAATGTTTTTAATTAATTTTCGCTCCGAATTTTTAAGACAATTTTTAAGAAGCAAAAAAAAAAAGAAAAAAATGAAGAACGTTCTCGGAATATTTGCAACACTCGGATAAAATGATTCGTAAAGTAAAGTTTGATCCTCCAAACGCACGGACGGACGTTTAGTAAAATTGTGAGGGCCAAAGTATCGTCCAGTCACTTTTCAAACACCAAGAGAGAGCCTCGAGTAATTCCCAAACCAAGTGAGAAGAAGAAAGGAAACCGAGCAAAACACTCGGACTAATCTCGCACGATCCTACGTGGATCGGCGATTATCTCTGCTAAAGTGTCGATAACCACAGGCGCCACTTGTAATCGAAGATCGATTACTTCCCTCCACAGTTCGATCGAATCTTTCGTGTGTACGTTGTCCTCTTATTTGTTTCATCGACAGTAATAACACATTCCTTCGAGCTTCGTTTGCACGTTGATTGCCACGGTTATCGGCCACTGATATTACTTCTTCAAATAATTAAAATACGATAAAATTCATCGACTAAAAAAAAATCACCCAACAACGCGACGACACTGTCAATAATTGTCAGACAGAATCGTCGTCGAACATTGTCAGATAGAAGATGAAATATTTTGCAAACGCTGCTAGGAATTCATTATTGTAATATTATTATTCTCAGTTTATTATAATATTACAATTTATATTTCTTACATTAATTACAGTTTCTTAACAGTTAATTAACCGTGAGTTGTCGTAGTGAATGTTTATTCAATCACGTGAACGAGTACGATATATATACTGCTCGTTGGATGTTAAAAAGTATTACACTGTGGCGTATATCAGTCTACAAATGAAATATATTGAATCCGCGTGGCAATCGACGTGCTGAGCGAAACCTGTGTGAGAGACCTATCCAACCTGTGTAACCGTGAGGCATCAAGCTAAAAGGTCCAATTGCACGCGGAAGATGAGCGAGGAGTCGATGAGCGCGTCGCTCGCCGCCAGGAACTCGAGGAATCGGGGAGCGTCGCGTTTAATAAGAGTCCCGGGAGTCCGCCGACACGGCGTAGGAATGCGACAAAAGCGGTAATCGAGCGGCTGACAAAGTTACGACAACTCGGCAAGAAGAAACGAGGCTCGAGAGAGAGAGAGAGAGGAGTAAAAATATCGAAAATCGTAAAGAAGAGCGAGACTTGAGACGAAGAAGTGAAGGTCACGTCCCATCCTACGCCTCGAGACGTACACGCTGCCGCCTCGGGGGTAGAGAGACGACACGGTCATTGAGAGAATCTTGGCGCAGAACGCGCGCGGGTACTTTCTTGGAGCGTAAGGTAGGCGAGAGTGGAAACCATGCGGAGAGGAGAGAAGGAGAGGCGAGTAACAAGGTAGAACGTTGTTGCGACGACAACGACGACAACGAAAAGGACGAAAACGAAGGATCAATCGAACGAAGGCGAGGGCGAAAAGGCAGGGGAGGTGGGTGGGTGGGGGGGGAGGGCAGAGGAAAGGCTCTCTACGTAAAAGGAAGAGGGATAGGCTGCGTGGCAAAGAAGCCGAAGAAACGGAAAGATTCGAAGGAGGAACGAGCAGCGTTGGCGAACGAGCAACAGAAGAGAGAAGACAGGCCAGACGATCAAACCGAATCGAACGGGGAGAAAACTGAAAAGATTCTCTCTCTCTCTCTCTCTTTCTCTCTTCCTCTCTCTTCTCTCTCTTTTTTTCTTTCTCATCCTGCCCTTCTTCTTACCTGTAATTCCGTCTTTCTTCCATCGATTTGATCTCTGTCCAGCGTGGTGCACCTGTCTTCGTTCACCTCGCGCACGCTCCGCCCCGACCAATCCAGACTCTCGGGGGCCCAGAGACGTCACCGACGCGCACAACAAGGCCCTGTCGTAGTGGGGCCAGGATCGTTTCCCCACCACCTGGAAGATCGGAGGCCGTGAGAGCCCTGCCGGGGGCCAGCAGCTAGCTGCAACCAGCGCCAGCGGTCCGGCCGGCCGTTGGCAACCTTGGTGGGGGCAGGAAGAGGGGCACCCTGCTGGCGAAGAACAGGCCGAGAAGGAACAACGCGCAGGGTACCCACCGAAACCCATCCCGCATTTCCCACCACCGACTCGTCCGGAAAACGTGCGCCACTGAGCTTCCGGACTGCTGCTCGGCGTTATCGAGTTCGGTGAAGTGAGTCAGGTTCGATCGGGCGGTACTTGCGAAAAAAGTAGTCGACATCTAGTCGACAGCGACATACATATATATCGTTACCGGAGCAACGAAACGTTTCGGAGGTCGTTTTGGCATTTTCGGTCGCGCGCGGATTTTCACTCGCTTGGAGAACGAGTGGTCTCGTCGAAGTCGGAAATTTTTTCACTCCACGAGACGAGAATGGTGGCACTTGCCGTTCGAACGGCTCGATGGTTCTCTGTTGATCGTTGAACGTACGACGATGAAAACACTTGACACTGAAGAATATACCTTCCGACTATATATCGTGTTATCGTCGACGCGTGACAGTTAACCCATCGCCGACAGGTGGACTTCGTGCAATTTTATCGATAACT